CGAGCCTCTGTAGCAAATTAATCAAACCTAAGGACAGGGTCATGGGAACCATTGGTTTGTAGCCAAATCGGACAGAAGTTGTGAGTAACCACGCACCTGCTTCTTGTGACTGGCATCTGGAGTGGAGGTGGGGGCGGGCTGGCGTCACTGAGCCCTTCACCTGTGGGATCTGATGCTGTCACCAGGTCGGTAGGGTCAGAATGGAGTTAAGTTGTAAGACACCCAGCTGGTGTCACAGAGAGCTGCTTGGTGTGGGGTTAAGCCCCACACACTTGGTGACCAGAAGTGTCAGAAGTGGAGTATTCTTTGTAAAAATAAAGGAACCACGCAGGAAAGGAACTCATCGTAGGGAAGAACTCGTGTTTGTTTCTGTTTTTGTTTTTTCTACACAGTAAGGAAAAACCTGGGTTGTTTACCTACACAGGAGCATAAAAGCACTTTGTGTGTGTGTGTGTGTGTGTGTGTGTGTGTGTGTGTGTGTGTGTGTGTGTCCTGAGTAATTTTCTAGGTAGGCCAACTTGGGTGTATTTTTTTTTTTTACAACTGTATTAAGTTTTCTGTAGGTTTATAATCTATATTAACATTTGTAGGAATCTTCTAAACTTAAGGCATTTAGGACAGTACACCAGTTAAAGAGTATTTTCTTCCGGTTTGCAACAGTGTAGCCTGTTAACTAACGTGAGGGCCACCAGAGACAAGGTCTTCGTTGGATACTCGTTGTAGACACAGTGTTTACTACACTCACACCAGGTGTTCAGTCCCAGCTGATGGGTTCTTATTCTAAGCGGGTCTTGAGTTAGGGAGTCTACTTTCATAAACTGAGTGGTTTCCCAGGCAGAAATGCCCTGGAAACTGTAATTCGCCCCTGTTTACAGTCCTGCTGAGGCTGTGTTTGAGGCGATGCCGTAGCTCTGGGGGACTCTGTGTCATAACTCTGTTCCCATAGCATCATTAGTCAGAAGTGACTGATGCGGGGCGCCTGGGTGGCTTAGTCGGTTAAGCGTCCGACTTTCGCTTAGGTCACGATCTCGCGGTTCGTGGGTTCGAGCCCCGCGTCGGGCTCTGTGCTGACTGCCAGCTCGGAGCCTGGAGCCTGTTTCGGTCTGTGACTCCCTCTCTCTCTGACCCTCCCCTGCTCACGCTCTCTCTCTCTCTCCTAGAAATAAATAAAAATATTAAAAAAAAAAAAAAAAAAGAAGTGACTGATGCACCGTTTGCTGAGGCCTTTTTGAATCTTCTTTTAGCTGCCTCAGTGTTTGTTTGTAGATGAGACTTTTAGCCAATTTTATGGAAAAATCAGGAATCCCTTTAGATGCTAAGGCTTTAGTTAACCTATTAAATTTAGCAGCACTCTTATCATGAATGGCAGTGAGGTCTTCAGGATAATCACTCATACAGATTTAATCAGAAGTTACTCAGAGAATGAAAACCTATCACAGACAATTCTCTAGGCTCTTCTAAGTTAGCCAGTAAATCCTATGTCGTGATTGTCACCGAATGACCAAGGTCTTCAAATCTAGAAGAAAAAGAAAGAAAAAAATCTCGATAAAAGGATAAAGTTTTGACAGTTACTTCAGCCTCGCATAGGAACATTAGTAACAGGCTTTTCTCCAAAAGTAAAAATTCACAAGAGCTACAACATAACTCATATTAATAAGATATGACTTCCTGTTAGTTAACCTAGGGAACTTGAACTTCTTTTTGATTTTCAAGTTGTCGTCATGTTATTTGTTTGCCAAACAGGACAGCTTTTAGAACACTGGTGTGTCCGTTGGCATCTGGAGTCTGCCAGAGACCCCTGTCCTCTCTTCCTGAGACGCGGGGGCCAAGCCCGTGCTGTGACTCAGCAGCCGTCCGGGAAACATTCAGGAAGAAGACATCTTAGTACTTTTATTATTTTGGGTTTGGGGCCAAGATCAGAGGTGATGAGATTTGAAAATAAGGTAATAAATGCTTGAACTCAAGAAATTATTATAGACAACATTTAAGAGAAACATAAGATCCATTAACAGTCATTATTAGGAACCCTCGCTTTTTCTATTTTTTCTTATGTATTTGTATACTTTTTCTCCCATTTGATGGTGGACTTGCCTGTTTGAAGTTGATATCTCTGTTGCATTCTCATGATGCATTATTAAAACTGATAAACTACCAAAGAGAAATGAAACTGGCCTCAAACACTAAATGGGTTGCATTTATAAATAGAACATTATGAAAGGCAAATTATTTTTTTTAACGTTTTATTTATTTCTGAGAGAGAGCGAGCATGAGCAGGGGAGGGGCAGAGAGAGAGGGAGACACAGAATCCGGAGCAGCTCCAGGCTGAGCTTTCAGCACAGAGCCCGATGTGGGGCTCGGACCCACGAACTGTGAGATCATGACCTGAGCCTAAGTCGGACGCTTAAGCGACTGAGCCACCCAGGCACCCCCAGATTACTTTCTTTTGATAAGAAAATCAAAAGGATTTTTTCATTTACACACATACACATAGAAATAGTTTTCTTGTTTTACAGCTTCAGCCGGGGGTCAAAAATAAACACCTGTCACATAAACTTAGTGTTTAGCAGTTGTGTTTCTGAAGTGGTAACTTTGATTCCTACAGATTTTTCTCCTGAGTGATTTGAACTAATAGTGTCACACAAATGAGTACCATGGAAAACGGTAGGAGTGTTCAGACTCCCCAGGCCCAACCCACAAAGACCTCCAGAGCCTTTCTCAGTCAACCACCCTGCACAGCTCGCATGGAGCAGAGCGCTGGAAAATGAAAGAGTTCCGTGTTGTTTTCACCAACAGGGAAATAAGCGCTCATGCCTAAAGTTAGGGCCAAAATCAGTCGCGGCCAAGATCTAGGAGAATGATTTCTCCTGTGATTGTCGTGTTCACAGTGGTGCCCAGATCCTTGGTGTCCGCATCACAGAACCAAGGATGGGTTTTTTTGGTAGAAAACTGGCCCACGATTGATGGGGGTGGGTTCGCAGGGGCGTGTGTGTCATTGGGCATGCTGGAGTGGGCGGCCCTGCGTCATTCTGAGGCTCCGTGTGCCCGCTGACCTCGAGGAAGCTTCCATTCCTGCTGCAATTAGGTGGGATCTTCCCTGGCCTCTAGCTCATCCGCTTGGGGAAAGCTGGACTCTGATAAATCCTAGACCAGGTTTTCTCTCACAAAGTAACCTGGTTCTGACACAGGTGTTTTCTCAACCTGCTGGACGTTGCTTCGTGATGGACACACACAATCTTGAGTTGAAATAAAAAATTCACATCTCTGTTCATAATTGCTTCTTTGAGGAAGTTTTTTGAAATGAGAAAAGTGGTTTTTAGATAGATGCAGGACAACCTCGAATCGTTCCTTTTCTTCCTTGAAGCTGACGCCCAGACTCCTCAGCGCTGCTGCAGACACGGGGCATGGCCTCGCCTGGGCCCTTAGCCTCCTCGTATTTGCCCTCATTCTCCCGTCTCGTTCTGGCTTTGACCTTCTGCCCGCTGTTTCCTCCGCCTCCCAGATCCCCTCACGGCTGAGACCTAGTGACAGTCACGTCTGCTTCATGTCACTTCCAGTTACTCTCTTTGTTATTCTTATTTTAATTATTGGCCTAGCTTTCATTATTTCCTGATTTCTTCCTGTTTCCTTAGTTTTTCTTCCTTATCGTCTGTCCGCCTAGGAGCAGTGTGAACCGCCCTATTCACCAGTGTCTGTTAGCACTTAGCACAGGACCTGGACGTAATGCTCAGTGGTGAACAAATAATGATACATTAGAAAGAACCAGTGTTCAGATCGTACAAGTAACTTGCTTTGGGCAGCCTCAGTTTTCCCATCTGCAAAATGTGTGCTAGTGTACCTATTTGTTACAGGGTATAGACTTGTTTTGGGGTTTTTTTTAAGCAGTATGTTGTAATTGATAGAGAAAAGAAATACATCAGCCTTGCCTTATTTACTGGAACTTACAGGCAAAATAAAATCAGAGTAGACTAAAAGAGATTGTCCTGAAACTCTCTTTTTCTCTTTTTCTTCATCTCTTTTTTTTCCTTTTTTTTTTTGCCCCTTCCTTTTATGTGTTTGTGAAATCTCCTAAGACTGATTTCATAACAGACATCAGAGAGAAGCACAGACCAGAAAGACTAGTAGAAGGGTTAAGTCTTTGGAGACGTCGCAGAATAAAATAAGAAGAGTCACTCAGTAAGAGTCGGACAGGACACTGAGGGTTTTGTCCTAAATCTCCTGAGCAGCTACTAAAATCAAGGCCGCTCAGCCTCATAGTGCATCTGTTTTCAAATCTGTAAACCAGAGCTGACATTTCTTCTTACCTGCTTCATAGGATTGACATAAATGATGATACGTGAAAGATACTTTTTAAACTGTGAATCATTAGGGGTGCCCGGCTGGATCAGTCGGAGTAGCGTGCAGCTCTTGATCTCGGGGTTAGGAGTAGAAGCCCCACGTTGAGCATAGAGCTTATTTGAAAAAATAAAATAATAATACATACATATGTACATGCATACTATAAATCACTGATCAAATACAAGGTTATTATTATGATCAGATCTGAAATTTAGGTTCTTTCTGCAAAACTACTGGAAAATACTAACATGGCTCTTTTTATGTGTAATTCCTCAAAGACAATTCCAAACATGTAGATACTTTTTTTTCTTTCTTTATGTTTATTTTTGAGAGAGGATGATCAGGGGGAGGGGCAGAGAGAGAGAACCCGAAGCAGGCTCCATGCTGTCAGCACAGCACAGAGCCCGACGCGGGGCTCAAACCCATGAACCCGAGATCATGATGAGCCAAAGTCGGATGTCAAACCAACTGAGTCCCCCAGGTGCCCCCAAACATGTAGATTCTAAAAGTACACAAAAGTACTTAGTATCCCTCCCCCAAAACATATGCCTTTAAAATTTAAGCCGCTGTTAAAACAAACACTCTTGATAGAGTGATCTGTTTTCTATATTTGACCACTAGAGTTGCATTGCATCTGATTGTCTTCCATTCTTTTCTGACCACAGCCCAAAGAGCCGACTGATCCAGTTAAAGAAAGAGAAGCTGGAATACACTCCCGGAGAGCACGAGTATGGGCTGTTCCCGGCTCCCATTCATGTCGGTGAGTGCCCCGTGTGCGCGTAGATTGCTGCAGAGAAGGGGCAGTTCTTGAGTTTGGATAAAATGTCCTGGTCTTCTTAGTATTTCTGCTTCTCCCGTGAGCTCACGCTCTTTCTTTACCATTTAGTTTGTACTCACTCTGAAGTATTCTGCACATTCCTTGCTGTCTCGAAATCAAAATGACATAAATATTTCTTACTCACTCAAGTTTCAGTAAAAAAAACACCTCGATGTCTGTAGCATTTGATTCCCTGAGTGTGTCATCGAGGAAAAACCAGCTCCTCGTCACCTCACTGTCACCATCACCTCACTGTCACCATCACCTCACTGTCAGATGTTTTCCGTGCTCAAAAAGACATGATTTATGGGTACGTAATCACCACAGGAAGAGAGCCCACTGCTTTCCCTGATCATTTATCTGCTTGAAAATTGAGCAAGATTTCTTTTCCGTTCACTTCGGCGGGGGGGGGGGCGGGGGAGACAGGATTTTGTTCAGCATTGGGGTCCGTGGGCCTCCTGCGTTCTTCCCGTTGTGTCTGCCGCGTCCAGTCTGGCCCCTCGCGGTCTGTGACCGCCGCCCTTGCGGGAGCCCGCGCTCCTGTCCAGGCCCCATCCCCACTCCGGGGTGGGCTCCACGCTGGTCCGGGGCTCGTCCCTGCGCAGCAGCCGTGTGACACGTGTGTTTCTCTCCGTGTTCCATCCAGTTCACTCTCCGCACAGGAGAAAAATACATAATGTTATAACGTTTAAGAATGACTTTTTATGGCTTTTCAGAACGACCTGGTCCCTGACCACCCTCCCCATGTCTGCGCTCCCTTCTCCCCCGCCCCCCGTCTTCTGTCTCCTTCCCTCCCGTCCCATCCCGTCTTCTGTCTTGCTGCTCTTTTTTCACGTCCTAGAACAAGTGTTGTTTTGCTTCCCATTCCTGCTGCCTCTACATCTCTTCCCTCAACTCTTCCCCTGGCTGATTTCTTTGCGTCCTTTGAGGTTGAGCCTAATGTCAACGTCTACTTAAATGTCATTTTCTTTAAAATTGTTTTTGTGATTGTCCCACCAAAGAGGGTCCCTCCCTTTATCCTGTATCACAGCATTTCTTTCTGTGACCCGTGATTGCTCTAGTTGTTTACTCGTGTGTTACCTCCCCCTTGTTAGATTATAAGCTGCAGGTAAAGGATTGTCTTTTCTTCCCCTTTGATTTCCTAGCACTTAGTACATAATAGAAGTTTAGCAAACACCTATACAAATGAAAGGAGAGGAGGAGAAATTAGGATAGCCTCCTGACGCAGGTGACAGGAGCAGCCTGGTACGTGTGGACCCTGTGTGTTCTCTTTACCCTGAGACCCTTGATCCGCGGGACCGTGGGGCTCTTCTCTGCCGTGACGCTCCAACCCCGTTTCTCCCCCGCGGGCGCAGCACTGGCAGTGTATTCAAAGCACCAAGCGGACACATTGTGCCGTGAAGATCAGTTTGCTGGATTGTTCTGTGCTGAGTGGCTGCAGGACAGTTTAACTGCAACGCACAGTTACAGGGTTTAATCCTCATACCTGAGTGACGGTAAGAGTGCGCTCTGCATCTCTGGGATCAGTGCCAAGGCTCTTCTGAAAGAGCATTTTGTTTTATTACTTATGTCATAGCTGTGGAAACGGATCCTCAACAGATTTAGCTCTTCCTAGAATCCAGTAATGAGAAATAGGCTTAAAAGTAGGAAGTAATTTAAAAGTCCCATTAAAGGAAAACATGACTTGGGGCACCTGGGTGCCTCAGTCCGTTGAGCGTCCGACTCGTTGGCTCCAGTCATGATCTCAGGGTCATGGGATCGAGACCAGCATCAGACTCCGCAAGGAGTGTAGAACCTGCTTGGAATTCCCTCTGTCCCCCGATCCCCCCTTAAAAAAATAAAACATGACCATTTTAGTCTTACTGGTTTTGTCCTGGCTGGGATCTAACTTAAATCGTAGAAGGAAGCTCTGACAAGTCCCAGGGATGAAGGTGTGTCAGTCCATCAAGGAGAATAGGGGAATGACAGGCCAGTGTCTCTCTCACATTCTGCCTCAAATAGTGGTTAAGACGTCCAGAGGGAAGTCCTTTAATTTAAATAAGGATGTCATCTCCACGTCCCCACTTCAGTGTCTCACTAAGACTCATTTGTGCTCAGTGGTCTGCGAAGTGAGTAGATAGATAAAGGAAGGACCTTTCCAAGTGTCGTGGATCTTTCATCCCGTGAAACAGGGTCTGAGGTCAGGCTGTTGGATGACAGATGGTTTTCCCTGGAGAGTGTGATTTTGTCGTTCAGATAATGTGTTTATGATTAGGATAGGGTGGTGGGTCAGTCACTTGTTCTGAACAGGTCATTTCCAGCTTTGTCAACAAAGAGCCTGACTTTGAGTTGGCCACACCTGGGTTCATCTCTGCCTTTGCTGTATTAGGTATATGAATAAAAAGTAGTTATATAATAAAATAATAGTGCATCTTAGCACTGATGGAGTCAGAATCAGTAAATGGAAAATAGTGTTTATTTTCAAATGTTTAAGGATGGGGTGCCTGAGGGACTCAGTTGGTTAAGCATCCAACTTCGGCTCAGGTCATGATCTCGTGGTTCATGAATTCGAGCCCCACGTTGGAGCCTGCTTCAAATTCTGTGTCTCCCTCTCTCTGTTCCTTCCCCACTCACACTCTCTCTGTCTTGAAAATAAATAAACATTAAAATAATTAAATAAATTTTAAAAATGTTTTATAGTCAATTGGGGGGTTTTTTTAGCTTCTTTTTGTTTGTTTATTTTCGAAAGGGAAAGAGAAAAACAAGAGCACGAGCAGGGGAGGGAGACACAGAATCCGAAGCAGCCTCCAGGCTCCGAGCTGTCAGCCCAGAGCCCGACTCAGGGCTCAGACCCACAAATCTTGAGACCATGACCTGAGCCGAGGTCGGTCGCTTAACCGACTGAGCCCCCTAGGCGGCCCTGTAGTCGATTGATTTTTCACAAGAGTTCCGTGACAGTTCCACGAGGGAAGCATGGTCTTTTCCTCCCTCCCTCCCATAAAGAGCACGTGCACACAAGCCAAGGAGGGACAGAGGGAGAAAGAATCCCAAGCAGGCTCCGTGCCCAGCACAGAGCATACAGGCCTCCATCTCACAAGCATGATATCTTGACCTGAGCCGAAGTCCAGAGTTGGACACTTAACTAAGACACCCAGGTGCCCCAGGCATGATGTTTTCGGTAGACAGTTCTGTGATAACAGGATAGTTGGATTCTCACCTCATGCCATTAACTCAAGGTGGCTCATCAACCTAAATATAACAGCTAAAACCACAAAACTCTTGAAGAACACATAAGGGGTAAATCTTCATGACCTTGGATTAGGCAATAATTTCTTAGCTCGAACACCAAAACCCTGAGCAACAACGACAACAAAAAGACAAATTGAACTTGGTCAATATTTAAAACTTCAGAAAACACGATCGAGAAATTGAAAAAAACATGCACAGGACGGAAGAAATACTTGCAAATCATATCGGTTAAGAGACTTGTATCCAAAAGCCTACACACGCAGGGAACTATTGCGACTCCATAGTAAAAAAACAAACAACGCAGTTTTTTAAACGGGAAAATTATTTGAGCAGATTTTTCTCCACGAGGGATGGACACGTGGCCAGTAAGCACATGAGAAGATGCCCTCGTCGTCATCAGTCGTTGGGGAAGCGGAAGTCAAAACCCTGTGGGAAGGCCCCCCATCCGTTGGCGGCCGCAGCTGACAGGCCGGAGGGCCGTGAAGGAGCCGGGCCCTCGCGCGTGTTGCTGGGACGAGCCTGCCGGGAGGATGCGCTCCGGCGGTTCCTCAGGAGGCAACCCGGCAGGCGTGCGGCTGGCGTTCGCGCGGGAGGACGGAGGACGCGTCCACACAAAGCGCCCACGGAAGTGCTCACAGCGGCAGTGCTCCCGGTAGCCAAAGGGGGCACAGCCCAAGTTTCCCAGCAGTGGGTAAGCAGAGTCACAAAACGCGGGCACCCACAGCGAGTGTCGCTCGGCAGTGACGAGAACCGGTGAGCTGCGGGACGAAGGCTGTCCGGCTGTCCGGCTGTCTGGCTGTCCGTAGCAAATGCCCGGGGTAGGTAAATACGGAGAAACACAGAGGATGGCTGCTCCGCGGGGCGGGGGCGGCTGTCGGTGGGTGTGCAGTATCTTTCAGAGCTGACGAAAATGTTCTGAAATGATGTTGCTTGTATTGGTCAGAGTTCTCCAAGGAAATGACAAATAAGATGTGTGTAGAGATTTATTGTTTTTATTTTTATTTTTTTAACTTATCTCCACACCCAACATGGGGCTCAAACTCACAACCCTGAGATCGAGTCGCACGTTCCACTGACCCAGCTAGCCAGGTGACCAAAGTCTTAATTCAGTCCTCACCTTTCTCATTTTAATAGTTTTTTTAATAGATCTTATTTGTCATTTTTTTTTCGAGACAGAGACAGAGACAATACACAAGCAGGAAGGGGACAGAGAGAGAGGGAGACACAGAATCCAAAGCAGGCTCCAGGCTCTGAGCTGTTGGCACAGAGCCTGATGTGGGGCTCGAACCCACAGACCATGACATCATGACCTGAGTCAAAGTCAGACGCTTAACCAACTGAGCCACCCAGGTGCCCCATTATTTATTATTTTTTAAGTAAACTCTACGCCCAACATGGAGCTTGAACTCAAAACCCTGAGATCAACAGTTATACACTGTAGGGCACCTGGGTGGTTCAGTTGGTTAAGCGTCTGACTCTTGATTTTGGCTCAGGTCATGGTCTCCAGTTCATGAGTCCGAGCCCCACGTGGGGCTCTGTGCTGATGGCTCGGAGTCTGCTTGGGATTCTGTCTCCTCCCTGTGCCCCTCCCCTGTTTGTGTGCACGTGCGTGCTTGCTTGCTCACTCTCTCTTTCTCTCTAAATAAATAAATAAAAACTTTTTAAAAAAATGTTTAATGCATCGGGAGGGAGGGGCGCCAGCTGGCTATGCTCGG